TATACAAATACATAAGTACTAAGAAACCTCCACCGAGACTCCTTTGATACTGTCGGGATTTCGATAATTCGGGATTTTAACACTATCCCATAATCCGATAGTGTTAAAATCCCGACACCAACTTTTATTATTTGATATAGACGTAATAGAAATGACATCCATGAAGTCTTTTAGTCCACACGTCTTAATGTATATACAAATACATAAGTACTAAGAAACCTCCACCGAGACTCCTTTGATGCTGTCGGGATTTCGATAATGTCGGGATTTTAACACTTTCCTCATAATCCCGATAGTGTTAAAATCCCGACACCACCTTTTAATATTTAATATAGACGTAATAGAAATGACATCCATGAAGTCTTTCAGTCCACACGTCTTATTGTATATACAAATACATAAGTACTAAGAAACCTCCACCGAGACTCCTTTGATACTGTCGGGATTTCGATAATGTCGGGATTTTAACACTGTCGTGATTATATTTGTCGGGAGATTTTCACTATGTCGGGATTTCAGTGGTCGGAATTTCATTATAGACCCGATGAAGATACAAGAAAGATATTTTAGATAAATTTATCCTACTCGTATTTCTCATCATTATGTACGCGTTTATTTGCCTTTTTTTTTTTCTTGTTTTAGTTAAGTTTGATGTAGGTCTCTGTTGATACAGCCGAAACGTACCCCCGTGGCATGAGTATAAGAAGTTCGACCACATAATTACGAACAGTGTGTGGTCCATTTACATACGTCAACAGCGATGCCCGAAAGCCTACCAACACAAAAAAAAGTAAATACAATAGGAATGAAGAAGTTAATGTCTAAATCGAAATCGGGGCACGTCCTTCTTCGATTCTGTTTAAAAATTGTATTAGTATTAGTTGTTGTTTGAAGTATTCGAAGATTGTTTCTGGAACGGATATGATGATCATCCATTAAAGTCAGGAAATCGATGATTTATATAATGATAATTGCGGAGTGAATAACGCGAAATTCTTGGTACGAACTTGGGAGGTCCTCGAGCGCGAAAAAAACCGCACTTGCCTCCTTTGTCGCAACAAGATGATTATTTTTTTCGTTTCGTTCTTGTTGTTTAAATAAACCTGTTTATTCTGTGAATTTGTGGATGTGTGAATTGCTAGGAAAATACGTTGGACCGATTCATTCACACGTACGTCTCTCGTGTTCGTTAAATCCGATATAATCAATGGTAAAATGCATTTGTGGGCAACCTAGAGCCGCATGCGGCTCTTCCTTCAGTCAAGTGCGGCTCCTTTTAAAAAAATATTTTTATTATATTTATGAAAATATGCAATTACATTAAATAAAACAAATCAATTTGTGTATCTAAGTGTCTCTTTATAAATTATATAAAAAAAAACCGGATTGCGGCTTTCTTTTTCCTCATGTATAATGAGTGTAATTTAGAACAAGGGAGTTTTGGATTGATTTGTTATCTGCGTTTGAAACAGGTGCATATCTACGAAATGCAGTAACATTGTTCCATATTGAGGCTTTTGTGTTGCGCCTCTTCTGCAATAAAAATGGGTGGAATTGGCCTTGGCGAACGGGAATGCGGTCACTCGGAATTCACGAGCCCAAAAACCGTGAGCGGCTGCACACCCCGGGTCATTAGGATTGATGTGATTTTGTGTAAACAAGATGGCAAAGATTCAGTGTGTGTTTTTCAATCTTCTTAACAATTCTTACATGTACCAATCAATTTAACACTGCTGAAATCCTGACTATTTCTGCATCATATTTACAATCTTTTAGTTCAAAGACATAAAGTTAATTATAATTATATGTGTGTTAAAAGCAATTTTTAAAGTTGTACCAATCAATTTAACACTGCAGAAATACAGACAATTTCTTCATAATTGTATATCAAATATGATGCAAAATGATCCTTAATTTACAATTTTTTAGTTTAAAGAAATATCATTAATTATATTTCTAAAGTTGTTAAAATAATGTCATGATTAGTATTGCTAGATAACTGTTCTAGGCTCAAGAACTTTGGTCGTTAGTCCTAAATTAGGTTTATATTGTAAAATTAAATTCAATTTCCAATGTTTTAGTTCAAAGAAATTTGGTTAATTATAATCATATGTCTGTTAGAAGTAATTTGGAAGTTGCAAAAACTTGCCATGATTAGTATTGCTAGATCAGTATTCTAGGCTCAAGGACTATGGTCGTTAGCTCTAAATTAGGTCCATATTGTAAAATTATCTTAAATTTACAATGTTTTAGTTCAAAGAAATTTGGTTAATTATAATCATATGTCTTTTAGAAGAAATTTGGAAAGTTGCAAAAACTTGTTGCGATTACTATTGATAGATCAGTATTCTAGGATCAAGGACTTTGGTCGTTAATCCTAAATTAGGTTCATATTGTAAAATTATTTTCAATTTACATTTTTTCAGTTCAAAGAAATTTGGTTATTTATAATCATATGTCTGTTAGAAGTTATTTGGAAAGTTGCAAAAACTTGTCATGATTAATATTGCTAGATCAGTATTCTAGGATCAAGGACTTTGGTCGTTAGTCCTAAATTAGGTTCATATTGTAAAATTATCTTCAATTTCCAATGTTTTAGTTCAAATAAATTTGGTTAATTATAATCATATGTCTGTTAGAAGTAATTTGGAAAGTTGCAAAAACTTGTCATGATTAGTATTGCTAGATTCTAGGATTAAGGACTTTGGTTGTTAGTCTTAAATTAGGTTCATATTGTAAAATTATCTTCAATTTACAATGTTTTAGTTCAAAGAAATTTGTTTAATTATAAGCATATATCTGTTAGAAGTAATTTCGAAAGTTGCAAAAACTTGTAATGATTAGTATTGCTAGGTCAGACTTTGTTCGTTAGTCCTAAATTTGTATATAAATTATAAATCAAGTATGCTATGTATTTAGTCTTCAATTTAAATTATTGAATAATTAATGTTAGATAAATAAATAATTAAGTGTACTAATTCAGTTTTTACCTAATAAAAAGCTATTAAGATATAATTAAGTTGTAACTTTTAATTTGAATTTGTTGCGTAAATGTGTAGAATCTTGAATATCTGAACGATGATGGTGTACTTATGTAGGCAACCAAGTTAACACACAAGCTTTAAAGTTATGAATATGTTATATAATACCATACATTATACTGAAAACTCAATTGTTTCTTAGAATCTTATATAATTATCCTTGCATTGTTGATTATATTAATAATATATACTACTTTTATTACACGTACATCTTATATAATGTAGCGCCATCTATTTGCATAGTCCTGAAACACCAGAAACTTTTTTTTACATAATTTTGTGTCAGAATCTTATAACCTACAATTTTATTAAAAGTTAAATAAAATGTTCAATTTAGCAAGACAACGCTTAATTCGTGCAGTAATCAGAGAAGTTAGAAAACCAACAGTTAAAAACATAAGATGTTTAAATACCATCACTCAATTGCCATTGACAACAACACAACAAACTTCTTTAACTCCATGCAGATACAAGAGCAACAAATCCAAGGGTAAGAGCAAACAGCAATCAGAGAGTGAAGATGAACCAGACGAACAGGATTTTGATGACGAACTCAATGATAAGAGCACAAAACTGATGAATCTTAAGGTGACTTCCATGAGATTGGATGGTATACTGAAATCAGGTTTGGGCATATCCAGGAGTAAGGTTGAGGTGATGTTCTATGAGAGCAAAATTCGTTTGAATGGAGAAAAGGTGCTCAAGAAAGGGGCGACAGTGCAAGAGGGTGATGAAATTGATATTGTTAAAGGTGTTAACACTGATAATCCAAAGTTCTTAACAGTTGGAAGAGTGGAAGTGCTGAATGCAGCTAATAAAGAGGATCATATTAGTCTTAAAGTTAGAAGGTATAAGACTTTAACTATTGAGAATTACGCAGATCCATGGAAAGGTAGTTAACATTTGTTTATTTAGTTAATTTACCAATTGTTTAAATAAATTTTGTTATTTGTGTGTATTATGTAAATTATTTATAAAGCAGACAATTATGATAATGTTATACTTATATAAACTTGAGAATAGGCAACTTTATTTACTTTGAGTGTATATAAAGTTGCCTAATATAACATATTTAAATTTTATATATTAGTTTGTTTAAACTTAACTTTTATTTATAATTAAAGAACAGTCTTTGTCCTATTAAATAGTTGTTTTTTTTAAATAATTAGTTTAAAACTAATATTAATACAGGTATGTTATAAACTTTGTAATTGATTAATTGATATAAATCTCTTTCGGGCTTTAACAGCCCTCACAAAATTGGTTGGTTTTTGGGAATCGAACCAACGACTTTTTGTATCAGGTTTTTGTGATACAATTGTTAAGTGTTTATTAAACTAATTTAACTTTTTTAGTGCTGTGATGTAAGGATTACAGAGCTCTTGTCAAAGGATGTATGCGGATATCAAGAGATGGCGCGTTATGTAAGTTCTACAACCAACTTCACCTAGGACACCATCCTCCTCCGACGCACAGAACCCGTATGCCTCGTCCTTTGCAGGCCGCATCCGTGCGCCGCATAGCATTTTGTTTTTGTCAGTACAGGCCGTCATGAGCTGCTTCGATGTCGCTGCACAGCTCCGAGTAGTCTTCCACGCCGGAATGCATTTGCAAACAATAAACTAAATGAAAGGATAGTCCGGCGTCGCGTAATCCTATCGAAAAAACAATCCTTTTCTAAACGGCCCACTATACAAGCAGGATAAATTTCGATTCCGGTGAAGTCTTAAATATATATAAAACATACAAGTAGTTCCGTACACCCACACCCCCGATACACAACAGTATACACACCTCCTCCCCAAAAAAAAAACCGAACACAAGAGATTCAATTAGATCTTCGGCATGAATGAAAACCGTTCCAGTTGCGCGTGTAAAATGCTGACGATGTTGAGTGTGTTCTGTGCATTGTGATTTGAGACTTTGATTTGATGATCGCGAGTGTGACTCAAATCTCTGGAGGAATTCCGAAGGATTACATTACACATCTTCCGCGGTATAAACATTCACCAAATACTGTAACGGTAAGTTCCAATCCCACAATCTATCCAATACACTTAAAATTTGGATTCATCATAAACATTTTGTTATGCCACATAGCAAAAAAAATAAAGGCATTTAAATAATTCCAATGTTTACTGTTTTAATTCCTTACCTACTTATTGCAGCTTGTTGCTTACATACAGGTATTTTTGTTTTCATTTATCAGCAAATTTATTCCGAGGCCTTTTGCTTTGTTCATTTAAATAAAACACATTGCAATTCCAATTTATTTTCACGACTTCTATATCTGACTTACACACGTAGAAGACGTTCAATTACATTTAGTTTCAGCATCTATCATCTAACTTCATTCAAGAAGGAAGCTGTTTCTACACCTCAACTCTGTGTTTTCGGATATTGCGAATATCAAAAAGAAAGCAACTCGTTTCATCCAAACCTGTTTCATCCAATAATTATAAACACATTTATTTCGCAGTTAATTTGAGTATTTACCTTGTACATTATTAGTTAACCGTTTTGTATACATGTGATTTCTGACAGATAAATTGTCATGATTAAATTCTTCTAGAATTACACACGAACGATGTCTTTTCTAAGAGATTTTTTTATATTAAAAGAAAATATACTAATTAACACCTTTTTTTACTCCATTCTTTAACTGTTTGAAATGCCAGAAAATCCTAAATTTCTATTTTTTGGAGTTAATATTATAAAATTGATACATTATTAGTTAACTACTTTGTATACATGTGATAAATTGTCATGATTAAATGTCTATAGAATTACACAAGAACAATGTTTTTTGTAAGATTTTTTTAATTAAAAGACAATATATTAATTAACATCTTTTTTTACTCCATTCTTTAACTCTTTGAAGGGCCAGAAAATCCTAAATTTCTATTTTTTGGAGTTAATATTGTAAAATTGATTCATTATTAGTTAACTACTTTGTATACATGTGATAAATTGTCATGATTAAATGTCTATAGAATCACACAAGAACAATGTCTTTTGTAAGATTTTTTTTAATTAAAAGACAATATATTAATTAACACCTTTTTTACTCCATTCTTTAACTCTTTGAAGGGCCAGAAAATCCTAAATTTCTATTTTTTGGAGTTAATATTGTAAAATTGATACATTATTAGTTAACTACTTTGTATATATGTGATAAATTGTTAAAAGTCTATAGAATTACAAAGAACAATCTTTTTTGTAAGATTTTTTTTTTATTAAAAGACAATATACTAATTAACACCTTGTTTACTCCATTCTTTAACTCTTTAAAGGGCCAGAAAATCCTAAATTTCTATTTTTTGGAGTTAATATTGCAAAATTGATACATTATTAGTTAACTACTTTGTATATATGTGATAAATTGTCATGATTAAATGTCTATAGAATTACACAAGAACAATTTCTTTTGTAAGATTTTTTTTTATTAAAAGACAATATATTAATTAACATCTTTTTTTACTCCATTCTTCTGGAACATTAAGATACAATTAAAAAAGATTTTTAATTACTTATCTTATGTTTTTGTTTTAAGAAATAAGACAAATCTTCAAAGACTTAATCAAAATCTAATCGAAATATCATTAAGTTAATTAAGCTATGCTGTTATTGATAAATCGTTTTTAATTAAGTCTCAAGTAAATAAACATTCATCTGCTTCAATCCATTAACTTTCCGACACATTTACTTTGAATTTGTTTTAAGATAAAGATGACGAATAAGTGGTTCACTTCTATAATCTGAGAAATGTTATCTTTTGATTCTTTATTTCGTGGAAAGAAGAAGGTTAGACTTTTCCGTTGAGTCATATTGTGGTCGTATTAGCTTTAAAGATAAAAATCTCCGAGTTACATTTAATTTCTGGATGCGACACGGAGTCTGGGCATGCAAATAACTGCGAATGCTGCATATGGTAGTAGTAATCCGAGGGATTGATGTAACGCGATGGAGCTCTAATCCGTTGCGAAGATCCGAACGCAAAAGCTATGATTTACGCGAACGCAAACTCGTTTCTAAATTAAACTTTTAATGTAATTTGCAAAAAAAAAGAAACTATTCAAATTGTATATGTTTTAGGAAGTTGCAAGTTAAATTATTTGAAGGAAATCTTTGATGATGAAGTGTTGATTAATAGAGCAAAGTAATTTTCTCGTTTTGTAACACGTACAATTGTAACAAAACTAGTTTATATAATAACATTGAAGTGCTAAACGAATGTTACAAAGCGTTAACAATGAATAAAGCACACACGAATCTCTGAATTCGCATTGTATTTTTTTTTGTTTTCTTTCGGTGGACCGCAAAATTGCGTTAACTCCATCGGTACGGGGAAACATTTTTAGTTCACTATTTATAGAAAGGCGATAACCGTAAAAATAGCCTTTGGTCCATCTCTCGTTTCTCGTATCATCATCACTGGCATCACTGGCATCATCATCACTGGCATCGTCTGGCAAGTAGTACTCATTTGCATGAGCGCATATTCGATAAATGCGTCTGCGGTCATAAGAATATGGCATAATGCCCCTTGTATTCATTAGGTATTTCCTCCGGTTTATCCGGACCCTCTTAATGTGCCATGATTTATACTTTTATCTCCGAAGAGCAGAAGGGACGAGCTCGTACGTCTAACGATAAGCACGTCGTGCGAGTTGTTCCCCACTGCATATCTACGACACACTTCCGGTTATGCTAATTGATGGAATACTTGTAGATAAAACTTCAGGCATTTCCAACAAAAACAAATACGATTATTACGAGATCTTACACGAAACACCGACCGATAATTGTATTAGTTTTCTAACTTCTTCTACAACCTTCTTGTTCGTTGTCAATTTCAATTTATTAATTTGTTTTCTTTATATTTGTTTATATTTGTTTTCTTTATACCAAGTAACTTGTGTTTATAACATATCCATGACTACCACTGTTGTATCTAAATAACTTGTAACAGTTACTTGTCTTAGACATTAACTTCCAGATATTAAAGTGAATCTTAACTTCCCAAAATAAAGAAACTAATTTACTTTGATAAATTGCATTATTATTGAAATGTACTGATTTATTCAACTAGTTTTTCATAAATGTTACCAAGTAACTTGTCAAGTGCCACATCGTGTTTACAACATATCCATGACAACCACCGTTTCTAAAATAAAGAACTGGTAATAATTACTTGTCTTAAAGATTAACTTTAAGGATAAACTTCTAGATATTAAAATAAAATGAATCTTAACTTGCAAAAATAAAGAAATTAATTTCGAATTATTATACCTAATGTATTGATTTATTCAGCTGTCTTATCATAAATGTTACCAATTAACTTGTCAAGTGTCACATCAAGCTTATAACATATTCATGACTACCATTGCTTATGAAATAAAGAACTTGTAATAGTTACTTGTCTTAAAGATTAACTGTGAAGTTAAACTTCCAGATATTAAATTATTAAACTAGTTTACTTTGATATTTTGCATTTTTAACCTAACGTAACGTAAAGCTGACTTCTCATAAATGTTACTTGTCATGTGTCGCATGCTGTTTATAACATCTCTATGACTACCACAGCATATTTCAAAATAACATGTAAAAGTTACTTGTCTTAGAGATTATCTTTGAGGTTAAACTTTCAGTTATTAAATTAAGGTTACTTCTAAAAACAAAGAAAGTAGTTTACTTTGATATTGTGCATTTTTAACCAAACGTAACTTACGATTTATAAAGCTGACTTCATGTTACTTGTCATGTGTCGAAGGATGTTTATAACATCTCTATGACTACCACAGCTTATTTCTAAATAACATGTAAAAGTTACTTGTCTTAGAGATTAACTTTGAGTTTAAACTTTCAGATATTAAATTAAGGTTACTTCTAAAAACAAAGAAAGTAGTTTACTTTGATATTGTGCATTTTTAACCAAACGTAACTTACGATTTATAAAGCAGACTTCTCATAAATGTTACTTGTCATGTGTCGAATGATGTTTATAACATCTCTATGACTACCACAGCATATTTCAAAATTACATGTAAAAGTTACTAGTCTTAAAGATTAACTTTGAGGTTAAACTTTCAGATATTAAATTAAGGTTACTTCTAAAAACAAATAAAGTAGTTTACTTTGATATTTTGCATTATTAACCAAACGTAACACATAATTTAAGTTGGCTTCTTATAATTGTTAGCAAGTAACTTGTGATGTAATGAGTTTACTTTAATTATTATCCAAACGTATTTTACGATTTATTAAGCTGTCTTCTCATAAATGTTACCAAGTAACTTGTCAAGTATCGAATGCTGTTTACAAGATTTCCTTGACAACCAAAACTTATTTAAAAATAACTTGTACAAGTTACTTGTAATTTTTACATATCCACCTTAATTATACTCATTTTAGAAGAGTAAATACGTTTTCTTATATAAAATTTATAGATTAACGAATCGATCAATCATTTTCGAGTTCAAAGGTGTTCTAAACAAGGCTCACTAATATGTTAATTAGATTCGCTCTAACGAGATTGATACTGACAGATTAATCATGTTTTGGTTACGTTTCGTTTACTTCTTGAAATGTTCCCTTCGAAATGATTAATGTTACGAAATTCGTGATGTATTAAGGCTATCATTTCCCAGTTGTATCTTCCGTTATTTGCAACAATGTTATTGATTAACTCGCGCGCGGAAAACTCCGAAGCTTTTTCCTCCTGGCCAGGATGACTCATCCGCTGAATTTTCCGATAGTAAAACCATCGTTAAAACCTGCATTCTCTCTCCCCCATCGACGTTCGTGGACGTAAGGTCGTTAAGGAAAGAAACTCATTTACCCTAAGATCCTTAATTTATTTTTAATCATATATCTAATTACTAAATCTTAGAACATCTAGAGTAATTATTTATTTATAAAACAATTTATATATCTTGAAATTATAATAGGATTTGTGTGCAAATTTGGTATTATTAAGAATAAAGTGTGATGTGTTATATCCATCCATCTGTGGTTCTCTATT